TCTGAAGGGTTTTCGAAAGATCGGATCTGTGGAAAACTCCTTAGAAAACTTTTTCAAAACCCAACTCTCATGCCATTAGAAAGAGGATCATGAAAAACCTATAAAAAAATGGTTCATGAAATTTTAGCTCACTCATAAAGCTAAAGTCCGCCCGCTCTAGCAAAAAATGCCCACTGTGCCTCTGTCAGTTTTGAAGGTGCTGTTTCGCAGATGTAGCAATTCTATTTCTGTTAGCTTGATTTCGTCATGTTTGTTTGCTGTGCTTGGAAATTTAATTGTCTGCATAGCCATTTCTGCTAAGGTCACTGGTATATCTTTGATCATTCGACAGCCCGAAGATTTGCTAATTCCATGTACGTCTCTATCAACGTAAAAAAATGATCCTGTAGCATAAAATCGTAGAGCTGTCAACAATAGAATGACCGGAGGGATGGAATGAGTTCTTTGAGTTGCACGAAGTACCGGGTGTGCCAAAATGATAGCGACACTTTTTAGTTGCCTATATCTGACACTCAGGAGCCCCAGAACATATTTTTTTCCATGTTGATGTATGGTACCGTGCTCAAAATAAATTTTTTTCCAGTATTTTTTGGACTAGGAAGTAGTCGAGATTGCATATTCGCAGAATTTTCTCCATGTTCTCTTATTTTTAAGATATATAGAAAAATGTTCAATGTGCTTTTTGTGGAGAATTCAATGGCGCATCTTTTCAAAAAAAGTTGAAGATTATATCCTTTTTCTCTATTGCGATATAGGTGAATAACACGTGTCGCAATAATTTCGACGCACCCGGTATTTTGCTGCTCAATCAGATTCAATAAATCGACGATAGCTGCTTTTGGAAATCTGTATCTCGCCAAAACCATGTCATATGTCATCATTTCCAAAGGATTTTGTCGGTCTTTAATACTCCTCTTTTAATGCTCTTGCCGGTAAAACAGCTGCTATTTCCATTTTAATTACTTTTACTCTGAATACTTTTAGAACTACGGAACGTTTTTTAATAGTTAAGACAATTTATTGACTTAGGTCACCTAGTTCGATGACTTAAGTAAGAAATCAAGTATCACTTAAGTGAAAAATCAGACTTAAGCTTTTTTATGAAACAGGCTCCAGATCTAAATTATTTCAAAATTGTGTTTCATCGAATTTTCTATGGGAGCAAAGCCACTGTACCAACTTGATTGAGGCAAAGTAACCGGGACTTTCCGATCCAGCTAGATGGTAACAGAATCAAACCAAAATCACTTATAGCGTATTTTTTCAGCATTTTATGCTTAGAAAAAGCATTGCAAGAATGAAACAGTGAATGAAAACAATGCTGAACTGATCTTTTCACGTTCTCCTTCACGCAGTGAATCAAAAAGAGAAGCTATATGTCGTGCAAAAATATCTCCTTATTTGCTATATTATATCTCTAATGCGTTATCTAGAATATTTTTGTCACCAAAAGTTGTTTTGTATCGTGCACTTGAACTACCAAAACGAGATGATCTTTGAAATCGTCAGTTTTTACTTGTATTTGTATGAAATTTGGTTCCGAAACGTGCAAAGGAAATGGAAATGGAGGAAGAAAAATAAAAAGAAGGAAATGGAAAGAAGAAGCAGACATCTCTTTAGTGAAACTCTTTGTACCCAAGGTCTTGGAAAAAACACCAGGAAGTCAAGATATTGAATTCTTGTGAACAGAAATTTCAAGATCTTGAGCGTATCCACTCAAGATAATATGACTGAATCTTGTACCCAAGATCTTGGAATTCTTGAATCATCGTTTTTTTTACATCCTTGTGTAAATCACGCACACTTAAGTGGAGACTTTTCTTTACATTTTGTTTTCATTTATGACAGCCAAGATCTTCGGTGCAAGAAGTTTAAGATGTTGGGTTCTTGAAATTTCTTTAACTTCTTACGTTCTTTTTAACAAGATCTTACTAAAACGATTCAAGAAGTCAACATCTTGGGTACAAGAAGTTTCACTGGGGTTATCTGATTCGGCTGTATTGTATATTCGACAAAACAAGCACATGTCTTCTGGATACTGATTGTAAGGAAACAACACGAAAACGTTCTCGATTCTTTTTCCATATAGTTCAGGATGAAAAAAAATAGAAAAGTTAATTTCCTAATCACCAAAGCCGTTTTGCTCATAATAGAGTTGATGTTCATGATCTAGATCAACTGAGCTAGCGGATTCTAACCCTTATTATGTCTAACAAACCAAACAAAGAAAAAGCAAGATAGAAAGGAACAGAGGAGTAGTATAGGCGTTGTTTGGTACCATGTGATTTTTCTCCCTAAATAATTTTTTACCATGTAGACACGGAGTGGTAGTCAAAAACCCACGTTTGTCCACTAGAAGTATTAGATCATAGATTAGTGAAAAAGCACGAGTTATTCAACCAGTTCCCGATCGGTATAGGAAAAAGGTTTTATGAAGCAAAGATGAACTTATTATTTGTCCTGATGAGTCTCCAATGAAAATCTTTCTTTAATTTTAAAAAATCTCTGTTCTCATTCCATTCTATTTTCTTTTTAGATGATATCTACGCTTTTGTTAAAGATTCTGTTCCGTCAACGATATTGGACAAGTTCAACAATACCGATGATTCAAAAACAACTTTTAAGACATCATTCAACAATGACAATGGATCCAGAACAGTTTCAATGGGACGAGGAACTACAACAATTTGTAAGATTCTTTGTGTGTTCTTCTTCATAGAACTACAGAAGTAGCCAAGGTTCAGAAATTCGGATGATGAGTCAAGTCCAGCAGAGAGTTGTTGAAAGGTTGCGCTGAAGGCCACTGATGAATGAGTAGAAGATAATACAAACCGTTGCTGAATTAAATGATGACGATTAACCTCATAGCATTAACACATATTTTGTTTTAAATCGAATTATCCGATTAAAAGTGTAGTTTGGACTATGCTGTAGAAATCCATAGTAAAATTAATCGGATTTATTTCAAATTGAAAAGAGAATCTTTTCTTTCCACCTCCTCGCTTTTTTAGTTCAGTCAGATTATCTTTATCTTTTGTAAAATATGAATATAACAATCTCAGATTCAGTTTTGAACAGTCACTGACGTCGGAATTTTTTTTCACATCTCTACCAAGAAAAATAGAATATTTTTGTTTCCATGTTTACATGATAGTGCCGTCAGTTTTTCTGCTGTTTCAGTAACCATGTGAGCAAAAGTGACTGTTTTTGCTCTGAATATTGAGAATAAACCTTTCCACTCCTTTTACCACATTCCAGGTAGTAAATTTTTGAAATGTTTTTGTCTGAATCAGCTTTGTGTCCTAAGGCTGATTGAAAGAGAGTGATTTTACAAACAAGTGCACGCATAAAAAACATCCTTATTTTGCTTCAGTTAGGAAAATGACAATAATGATTGAAATATCAAAGAAAATATTTGATCAGTTTACAGATATGAATTTCATACTAAAAATTGGAATTTGTGAAATGTAAATCTTGCTCCCTTGCCTATATCTCATGGATTTTTAGTAGACTCCCGCTGAGTGTGACATTTGTACAGAGTTAAACCTACACTATCTCCACATTCAGTGAGGAAGCATATTCCGATCGGGATATAGAGCATGGGATTCTACTATTATTAGTTTTATCTCTAGATAATCATAGTGCAGATGGGTTTTGCTCGGTCGAAACAAAAGTCTATGTGCTTTTTTGTTTATATTTTCAGGTCGACTGGCTTGATGATTCATCAATGTTGAGCTTTGGCGAAAGTTATCCTCCAAAAAGACAACCATTTGTTTCTTTATTTGCTCAAAAAAGATTTATAAAATCAACAGGTAAACATTTTTTATAGAAAGAATGGCTTCCATTCTCGTTATTTGACTAAAATGTATGTATTAGGCGCCACATCAACCAAAGAGAACTTGTTTGGTTTAAGTTTTAATCTTAAGCCAGAACGAAATCGAGAATATAAATTTATATTCTTTCAATTCTGGTTCAAGATTAAAGCTTAAACCAAACCAAAGAGAACTTATGATTAGGAACAGAACCGGGAAGCTAAGTTGAAAATGGCTTAGGTCAGTTCAAAAAATTACTTGACGACGACTAAATTAATCTTCAGAGATTATTCTTATTTAGACTTTTTCCGGCTTATACGAAGGGAAGGTTGGACAAAAAGCTGAGTTAAGATTTACCTGGATCTTGAATCAAAGAAGACAAAGTAGTGCTTCTGCCAGAATTGTTTTTGTTAATGTAATCTTAGCACCAGAACTTCAGAATGAGGTCTTAACCTTTTAAAGCCCAATGTGCATTTGAATGGACATTGGCATTATCATTATAAGAAACTAAAGAAGCATTGTTTGGAAAAACTGATCTTATGGTGGTTGTTGAGAATTAAATTGGCTATCGAATGGTAAAAAAAAATTTTGTTTGTGTCTTATGCTAGCTGAGATATTCAAATTTTAAAATGAAGATTTCGAAAAAATTTAACTTTTTAATTTACTTTTTTCGGGTACTTTACGAAAGGCTGTTTATTCAATGACTTTTCAAAAATATGTAGGGAGGTGTTCTCTTTCAAATTATATCAGCTGAATAAATTATTGTTGGAAACTAGTTTGCTGATGGTACAAAACGAAAGATCATACTTTGCTGAGATTTCGGGCTCCGTTTCTTGATCATTCTTGATTTTCTTCACCATCTCAGTTCGTTTTCCGTCTTAAATTCCTCAAACATAATGGTCTAAACTTTGATACCTTTGGTCTTTGGTTTTTAACGAGAATTTTTGAAAAAATAGTTTTCAAATTTTCATTGTAAATTTAAATTATAAAAGCTTTTTTTTAAAGTGAACAGTAATTTTTTCGAGCGTGACAAAGTCGTATGGAGGTATCATATGTTCCATTTTCATAAGCGGTTGATCCAAAACCAAGCATTGAAGCCCTGAAGACTTAAAGGGTTAAGTGCGAGCGGCGCTCGAGGAAGAAAAGGATGACTTACGAAAAATTTTTGAAATTTTCGATTCATACTACCTCCGAAAGGGAAAAAATATTTTAGGAAAATTCTTAAAAGTGTCTCCGAAGTCGTACTGTCATTAAAATGGCATACTTTCCCTTAACTTATATATACATGCGTCCGACAATCTGACAGATATTTTTAACTTTACAGAAGTGACATTTTCAACTGACAGTATGACTGTCATTTATTAAGTTTTCGATCATGTACACTACTTTCATAATATCTTTAATCTTTTAAAATGTTTTAGGCAAATCTAACAATTATTCCCTAGGAGATGTTGTGCTTATGCCATCAGTTCTGAAATTTGATATGAAATGTCTTCGACCGGCTGTAATTATCGGTATTTCTTGTGACGAAGGAGGACAACTGGATTTGATGTACACATGTCCATTGAAAAAATATGTACCTAATCGTGAAAACACAGCAAAATATGTTGAATCCATTTCAGTGTTGGATGCAACACCGGGTACTTTATCGTTTGACAGTTTAATATTAGTAGACCGTGGAGGATTTACAGATACAAATTCAATTCGAAAAAAATGTGGTGTAATTAACAGTAATTTACTACAAAAGGTAATTCAACAAACACAAACTTTATTTAAAAAAGTCAAGTTTTTCTAAATAGGTCAAGTTTTCTAAATGTATTTATTTGTTTATTAAAAAAGAAAGATGATGATGCTCGGCTTGTTTGTTTTTTTCATCAGTGTTTAGAATGGAAAGGTCTCAAATCTGATTCGACCTGAAGTTTGGATTTGAATTTCTGCTTATTTCGGATAAATCGTTCGTTACAATATTTCTATCGATTAACAAGAACAATTTCGTACTTTCATTAATTCACTTTGTTCTCCAACATGTTGTTATAATTATATACCATGTGAAACAACACATCAGTATCAATGGCACGATCACAAGGGAAGCTCCCTAGCTGATACCCTCCGATTTCGATGATCTTTTGCTGATAGATACCATATGATGTCCAAGCCTGAACCTCCAAAGGATTTGGTTGTATAGCTCTTCTTTCATAAGTTATGAATTTTTTAAGATTAACCGCTAGAGATCCTAATTCATCATTGTTTACTTTTCAAAACTCATTTACATGTGTGCTGATCCATCAAAATCTTTTTAAATATTTATCCATATAGAGAAAAGTGTTCTCTTCAAAATGAGAAGTTGCTGAGCTCTGTACGATATCCCCATCAAAAGTCATAAGCTTTTTTCTAAGAGCATCTAAAACTCTGCTTTTCTCCTTTTCTTTCATTTCGCTACATCGATTTTTCTCTTGTAGTATTGGATAATTCCAAGAGGCTATTTTAAGTGCTACAAATCTGAGGTTGGTCTTGAAATCACCACCAACAAGCATTCAAACATTGTCTTGTCATTTTTTTCTGTATTTTTATACATAATTGATAATCATGTTATGTCATGTCTCTGACGAAAATCAATTGAGGAACTCAAAAATTCACTGCCTGATATATGTACGAACATAAATGAAATTTGGAATTCCGCAACTGACGAACTCAGAAATACCTGTACTCATATTCTTATACGTAGGCATATATTTGAAGTGCGGAACTCAGGCACTCAGAAGTTCATTGGCTCATATATGTATGATTACATGTGAAGTTAGGAACTCAGGAAGTCAGGAACGCAGACGTAAATCTACTTACATATTTATATGTATCGATATATCCGAAGCGAGAAATTGATTGGCTCAAATATGTAGGAATATAATTGAAGCTCGGCGGTCCGCTCCTCCCGAAGTCAAAAGTACTCATGTTCTCATATACTTCTATGTATGCATATCTTTGAACCGACAAACTCACGAACTCAGAAACTCATTGGCTGATATATGTATGAATATATTTCAGTATATGTATGAATATTTTGAACTCAGGAACTCGGAAACTCACAAATACATGTACTCATTTACTAATATATAGCCACATGTTTGAAGCGAATCAGTCAGGAACTCAAACATTCATTGGCTCATATGTCTATGCATATATCTACGTAAATATCTATGTATGGCTGATATATGTACGAAGATGCTTGAAGTTAGGAACTTAGACATTCCGCTACTGACACACTCAGAAATACATGTAGTCATATACTTATATGTATGCATATATTTGAAACCAGTCCAACTCAAAACTTCATTGGCTCATATATGTATGGATGTATTTGAAGATAGTAACTCAGGAACTGACGAACTCGCAAATACATGTAATAGTGTAGTAATATGTGGGCATATGTTTGAAAGGAGGAACTCAGGAACTCAGAAATGCATTGGCTCATATAGGTATGTAACACGTGGTGCATAAAGAATTGCGCTGTTAGTGTTTTTGAAATTTCTCGACTATTATCTTCCCAATTAAAACACTTTTTTTATCAGAAGATAGCGCTTGAAATTCTCTACAAAACCATGTATGACTAGTCTCAAAAACTGTTTTAGATGTATTTGAAAAAAGATGAAAAGTAAAGACATACAAAAAACTGTAAAATGTAACGGCTTGGGTAAAATGAATGGTCATACTTTGCATCCCATTTTTTCATCATTTACTTCGCTCTAATAAAAAAACTAAATATGCCAAAAGATGCATCGTGAAAAGCTCTACAATTTACATAAGATCGCCTATTTTATAGTTGCACTTTTTGTGTTAAAACTGGACAAAATTTTGAGTGATCAAATTTCGACCGGGCAAAATGACAATTATTTTTTTTTGGTACAAGATGAATTCGTTTTTTCTCATTCCATCTTTTTATAATTGTCCTGTAAATTGTAGAGCTTTTCACGCTGCATCTTGTGGTATACTTATTTTTCTTTGGAATAAAACATATCAACTAATAACAAGATAAAATAAGAAAAAACGAATTCACCTTGCACCAAAAAAAAATATCATTTTCGCACGGTCGAAATTTGGTCACTCAAAATTTTGTCCATTTTTAAACCAAAAGGTGCAACGGCTATCTTATCTAAATTTTAGAGCTTTTCACGCTACATCTTTTGGCATCTTTTGTTTTTCGATAGGTCGAAGTGATAAAAAAATGGGATGTAAAGTGCAGCCATTCATTTTACCCCAGTCGTTACATTTTACAGTCTTTTGTATGTCTCTAATTTTCACCTTTTTTCAAATACATCCAAAACAGTTTTTGAGACTAAAGTTAGAGTGGAATATATTTTTGCCTTTATTATACATATTCAGATTCAACTTAGCGAGCTCATTACGAATAGCACTTTCCGAGCCTCCAAAAGTCATTTCTTCATGGAGAAAAACTCAAATTACTGAGAAGACCTCAAAAATACAAGAAACCGTCCTCTTTGATGGAATTGCTCTTTGATGAAATGAAAGGGTCATATACGAATGAATATATTTGAAGTTAGGAAGGCAGGAAGTCCGCAACGGAGAAATACATTTACTCAAATACTTACATGTATGCATGATATATGTATGAATATACTTGAAGATAGAACCTCAAAAATACAAGAAACCGTCTTCGTTGATGAAATTGACTTTTGGTGCTTGTGTTACAAGATGGAAGGTTTGAACTATATTTTTCTGAATCAGCATTAAAAACTGATTTAGAAAAAGGTTTTCAGTTCATTTGATAGATATAGCAAAAAAGATAGATACAACAATAGAAAAGCAAAAAAAAGAGCACAAATCCAATAAGGCGAAAGGGAAAGATAATGATCAACATAATTTTACAACTAAATAAATAAATAAACACATAAAAAGATATTCTCTTTAGTTCATGATTATCAGTCAATCTTTTTTGTCTTAACGAATAAAGGGAGAGATGTTAGTTCGGTAAATCGTCTTCCTTTTACTTTACTTGTTCTTCTCCTACAATATATATAGCAAGCACTTGATTATATGACAAGTATTCAACAACAATTCCACGATAAACAATATTATCAGCCATTATTTTCAACAATGTTGTTAAGTCGTCATTGTTTAATGTTACCTGAAGGTGTGTAATTTTCCTGTTGGGAGTGTGTGTAACCTAACAATCATTTGACTATGCTTCTCAACTTGCTGTGGTTCGAACTTTCGCCATTATCATTTTCATTCGTTTTTCACATACATATCGTCTAAGGTAAAGTGTTCTCACTATCGATTTATACAAATCGTAGGCTGTTAGCTCTTATGATTGAGATATTAGAGTCTTGCTACTTGAATTTACTCATCAATACACTTTTTCTTTGGTAACTTCAAAACGCAACTAGACGCATCTAATCGACAATGCTGAACGTTGTTACAATATTTGTTGTTTAATTAAGACTTAAGGGACGACAACGAATCATATAGTTTTCATCAGAAATCACTGTTCAGCGATATTTTCATAAATACTTCAGATCGTCTCCAAAATAACTCAAGCGTTCATACACTCTAAGTTGCTTTACTATTGATTCAAATGACAATAACAAATGAAAAATTTTGTATGAGCATTCAAAGATTTTTAGAAAAACATATCTAAGCTTGAACGCTTTTTTGTACTCTTCTTATAAACGAAAATCAGCGATAGAATCAGTTTTAAGTGTACATTTGAACTATTCCAGACGTGTTCTAATGGATTTATAAAGATTCCATTGTACAGTGGTATTATGATGAAAAATGAGCGTTGAATAGAAATATAGAGAGAACAGTCTTTTTTATACGATATGTTTGAAAACAATAAAGTTAATAATGCAAAAAATGTTTGAACGACAAGAAATTGATAAGATACACCACTTGCAGACAATTATTCTTGAAGACTTTTTTCCTGTTACTCCAAGCGTCTGCTCTTTTAAAACTAGTGAAACAGCATTTCTTAGAACTTTATTCGTTTCCAAGCTATTCACATGAAACATACGAGTTTCTTATATTTCGAAACAGTTCATGTCCCATTTCTTTTTGTTAAAGGATGCAATTATGCCCATAAACGGATGAATGATGCACATCAAATATGTGCTATTCAAATATTTTTACAATGTTTTGAACAAACATTAGAAAATAATGCAATATTAGCATTATTTTGTCATTGGTCAAAGAATCATGTGGTGATCAATTACGTACAAAAGAACAATTAGGTTATATTGTATTCAGTGGTTATGATCGATCTGATTATGGTAGTGCTCAAGGTTTTTATATTACAATACAATCATCGACGAAATTAGATTATGTTAATTTAAGAATTGAGACGTACATTGATTCAATAAGAGTATGTATTGTGTCAATATCATATAAATAAATTGCATAGCCATTGTATGTTTGATATTTTCTGTTATGATTATCATTATGCTTTCAGGAATATATAACCACAATGTCCGATGATGTTTATTATAAACAACGTGAAGGCTATATAATAAAAAAACTTGAAATA